TTTTGTTAGACGAAGTGGCAAAGAGATCATCAGATAACTTATAATCACACGTACAATATTTTATCTAGCCTTTAATGTACTGTTGCGTAAATAGGTTTTAAAGACACAAGATCGCATATGAATATCAGTAAATTAATATTTGGATAAATTAATAAGCATACGGTTATGCATAGAAATAGAATGAAGTTCAAAGTATTTAATTATTTTGCTTATGTAAGAAGCGTTATCTTTCTTTATCACCTATTTTTACCCTCCTGTTTTTGAGTAGTTCAATAGCTATTAGGAGTGCAATGACCGCTTTGGAAGTATTGAAAAAAAGGCTCTGCGGCTGCAGTGGTAGTGCAAAGACAGTGTAGGTATTTAGGCTTCGCGGCTGCAATAGCGGTGCAAGGACCCTTACATGATCAAATAACACAACACAGTATATTGCCGATTTAACGATTTTCATAATACATATGTTTTTTAGCGTTAGGCGTAACGGTAATATTAAGCAAATTACAGATTAGAAATGTAACAAATTAATCACATGCATTATGATGGATGTGAATATACCTTAAGGATTATCTTTGATTAAATTGCAAAATTTGAAATTCAACAGACCTAACTTTTTTTAATAAACATATGTTATTCAACATTTCAGGCAGTTTTATTTTTAAATTTATTTAACCAATTGCATATGTCTATTCTCGGAGCTTATGAATGTTGTCTATGCACTTGTACTAGTATTTCGAATTCAGTAAGTGTAGATGGTCTTTTTCCAACAGAAATGAAACATTGGGATAAATTTTTTGTTGAAATAATTTCAACACGAACCCGATAAAGAGCCGAATGAAATGATCGTTGAATCTAATATTGATACAGTAAAGTTACAGGTGAAACTGGTGAAAATTTGGTGATGCTGGTGAAACTAAATACAGTATAATAGCCAGTGAGCAGTGAGATACTCAGGTTGAAACTATGGTGAAACTCAAGATTAGTTTCATCTATAGTTCTAGTACGGTAATAGAAGTTAATATTTTTCGTATATTGCTCTTGGGGTCCTCTATTATACGTATAAATTTATAAATCTACATATCGTGTAACATTTGTGCATATATACCTAATATTTTTCATATCAATATATGCAGTGGCTGAGGGGTCTAACGCTAATATTTTTCATATACGTATAACCCCAACGGGTCACTTTATTAGATAACGGTTTTTGCATAGTTCACATAACATATTTGCATACATTTTTATTCTTTATCATGTAGCCCGTCGTTTAACGACAGACTCTAATACTAGTTTCGAAGCTAAAAGACTGATCCTAAAATCATGACCTTAACATTGGAAACTACAGACCAGATTCACCTATAGAACAATTTTTGTGGAAAAATTATTATACCAATCGAAATCAAGTGATATGAATCGGCAATCGAGAAATTTTAAAAATATCAATCAATTATATTTCATAAAATGCACATTTTGACAAAGATATTTCCTGTTATTCTGCTCAAACAAAGTATCGTTTGTGCAGGGCTTACTGGCTTAGTTATAAAATATTGTTTTGGTTTTATACGCATCTTCACTTTGCCACCAATAAAAGGCTACGTAGTAATGAAAAAATATATATACTGTATGTATAATATATATACTACGTACGTATAAATAAAATTGTAACAAAGTTAATATTTTAGATGTATCATATGCAATGATCGTTTATTATTAATTAATTTAATTAATTTTCACGCGCATATAACGCAGGATGATCTCTATGATTATCATGATAAATTATCATTTCGGAAAAAAT